TATCTAAGATGTTTAATATTCAGACAGATAGTGAGGTTAAGCTCAACTGCCTGTTATAGGGTAAGAATATCATTAAGCTTCTCTTCCAGAGGGGTAACAACTTAAGTTTGCAGACCAAAAATTAGAGAAAAAGAAGAGCTGCAAGGACAGCCAACATTTTGGTCCTAGTTTTTCAAGGTCAGTGAGGGCTCAGAACATAAGAGAACCTGTACTGTAACATCCTGTAACTCAGTTGTGTCCCAAATATACTGATCAAGGAGATTATGGGGCCACAGAGGAAAGTGATTGTTGATGTAGAATGTGCCTAAGGAGAGTCACCTAGAGAGAAAACATTCTCTCAGGCTTTCACAGAACGCAAATTGGTCAAGCAATGTCTGGGACTCATCCACATGGCTGACACTCACAAAGGATCTACAAATTGCTGTATAGGGTTTCAGGATAAATCCTGAGGGGATTGGACTGACCTTGGCAGATACAAAAGTTACATTTCTTGTTATATGGGTCTTTTTTTTTATCTTGGTCTTAACCATCCAGCAGGAAAGTATAAAAACGAGTTATAAAAAGTAAAACCATATTAATATGCTGAGCTATAACATGCCCAAGTTAACAACTTCTGACATGGCCAGTCCTATGGATAACCCACCACTATTAGGGACTATTGGACTATATTGGATTATTTTTCTGAATTCACACACCTACAGTATTTAAATGGTAATGGAATACCCTTCTCTGACAAAACTAAACAAAAAGAGAGGATACAAATGAAGGACCATTTTGTATCTGTATATACAAAATAAGATAGATATACAGCTACTTTCTCTTAATTCAATGAAAAGAAAGATTTGTACTAATAGTGTTTGGATGGGATATCATGTCTGCATCTTGTACTATGAATAGCCACTATGAAGACAACAATATGCAATGTATTAATTATTGAAACTGTCCTAATAATCGGTTTTGAAACTGTCTCATTGCTATTTGTTTCCTAATAAAATTAATTTTTAAAAAAGAAAAAGCCTCATCAAAGCAGTGACATCAAAAAAAAAAAAAAAAAAAGAGGTAACATCAAAATAGAGACCTCAGTTAAATTCCAGCCTGAGATATCAGCCCATTTAAACTCTCAATAAGGAACATGCTTAGAATGCTCAAGAAACAGCAGAAAAGGCCAGCGTAGCTGGAGCTTGGTGAATAAGAAGAATGTGATAGGAGATGGAGTTGGCACTTGTTACTAGGCCAGATCACATGTGGCCCTGATAAAGATTTGGATTTTATTCTTAGGGTGATGGCAGGCCAAATGCAGATTGTAGCAAGAGAGTAAGGTGATGGGATTTATCTTTTTCAAGGCTAAATCTGCCTATAGTATGTGATACTAAAAGAGGGAAGAATGGAAATAGTGAAAATAATTAGGAACCTCTTTCAGTAGTCCAGGTGAGAAGATGATGGTCTGGACTGGCATGAACCCACTAATTTATATTGTACTCTCAGAATGCAGCTGGTGAATAAGCTGTTGACTTTGATAAGCCTCCAGCCTAACCATTGAAGCAGTTAAAAGTATAAATGTAAGGTACATGTATATGGTGGAATATTGGACTAAGAAAGGACTTGTTACTTGTTTCCAGCTTTATTTTTTTAAGTAAGTGTGTGAACTTAGGGAAGTCTCTTAATTTTTGTGGGACTCAAAATTTCTGTTTGGTGGTTGTTTTAAATATAAATTGTCAGTTGAGTTCACTTCTTTCTACCTGTAATTGATTTTATAATTCTATGAAACAGTAAATATATACCAAATATTTACTATGTTTTAAATGTAGAATAAAAAGTGCTTTTGTAAATTCAGAATTAATACAGAACATTTTTACCTGTAATATATTTATAAAATAAAAATATAAGTGCTCACAATATGGCTCATAAATTTAAATGTAAGCATGGATAATTAGATTATAAATTATACAGAAGTTTGGAAAAGCAAATAGTGAGCAAGGAACTGAATTAGGAAAGGATGGAACAGATACTTGGTCAATATAACTTAATTAATGGTGCTGGCAGGATAGCTCAGTGGGCTAAGCATCTGCTTTGTCAAGCACAGGGAACTAGGGTTCAATCCCCAGTCTGAATGCTCTGTTGGCCCTGCCCTCAGGGCAGGCTGAGCTGTGACAGAGTCTGGGAGTAGTGGGGCATGCCTGTAATCCCAGTGCTGGGGAGACTGAAAACAGGAGGATCACCACAAGTCCAATCTGTGTAGTGAGACCCTATACCAAATACGCAAAGGAAAAAAAAATTAATTAATGGTTAAGGAGAAAAGATATCCAGGATACAAAAAAGGCAAATGAGCATAACATTATATGGGCTTATGATGGAAGAAGATTCAGTTAAGGTGAGCCTGTCTATCATGGAGGATATATGAACAGTGGGAAAATTGATTTGGCAAGATAAAATGAGAAAAAAACATAGACAACATTAAAATGTAGGCAGAAATGTTAACTAAAATTTAATGTAAGCAAAAACTAGGAGCTATAATAGATTCTTTATTAGAAGAATATTGTGATACAAAGTATATAAGAAAGATTATTATAATACTGTATACTTTGAGGAGAGTGTAAAACTTCCTTGTTTCAGATAACAAAAGAAAACTTAGCATAGGTTTCTCATTTAATGTTCATACCAGCTTAAGAAAGTGAAGTTCAGAGAGTTGGTTTGGCTAAAGTGCTGATTCTAGAAAGTGATTTAAAAGGATTGGAACTAATATCTTCATGATTCTAAGAAATTAGTTGGAAAGTCTTTAGTTAGAAAATATTACAGTACCCCAAGTATAAGACAAGGAATAATATGCTCAACTAGCAGTGGGAATGGAAGAGGTGAAGATGAAAGGCAATTTTTTTCTGAAGTACTTTGGGCTCATTGTGCATAGGGCACCAAAGAGAATGTGTGCCTATGGGAAGCTAGTGAGGATTACCATGCTTTTGGGCAGTGGTTATTGGGGACCAAGGAGGAAGGAGGAACCAGATTGAGAGATGAAATAATATCTGATTTGAGAAAGTTGAATTTTGGGTGGAGTTAAGCATTCAAATGGTTAAGACACATAGTTGAAAGCACAACAGTAAAGAGGTCTTCTAAGAGAAGAAGGCCATAACGAAAAGTGAAAGACTGAGAAATAATGCCTAAACTTAGTGTGTAGGTTTAGGAAGAGAAGGTTGATCAAGTAAGTAGCCACCCAAGTACTGTTACTTCAAATTGCCTAAGTTGTTAGATGTCATTGATATTTCTGTATTTTGTGTTTTGACCTGTCAGAACTTGACTTTGTTGATACAGTTCTGTTGAAGTATATACTTACACACACACACACACACACACACACACACACACACACACACCACACACGAATTTCAGTACATGATCAAGTTTTTCGAAACTGCAGATTCTTTGTTTTATCAAAAGGATTTGGTACATTTATGATTATTCAAGTATATCTTTTAGTGATGTTCTAAGGAGCACTTTTCATTTGTACTTGTATTACTAATTTATACTTTTAATATTTCTTCTGTGAAACATTTAAAAGCTAATGACTGGAATGTTATAACAAAAGCATAGGCAAAGAAAGAAAATTAGTAAACTGGGCTTCACTAAAATTAAAAACTGTTCATCAAAAGAAACTGTCAACTGAGTAAAAAGACAATGCATGGAAAAGGAGAAAATATTTACAAATTATCCATCTGATATGGGTTTAACATCCAGAACATCTAATTCCAGAATGTGTGATAAGCTCACAGTGACCCCCACCCAAGAAAAAGTCCACTTAAAAATGGGCATAAAATAAGCATTTTTTCCAAAGAAGATACACAAATGACCAGTGAGTGTGTGAAAGGTGGCTCAATGTTGCTGTTAGAGAAATACAAACCAAACCACAGCTAGATACCACTTCAAATCCATTAAGGTCATTATTATTTTTTCTAAATGAAAAATAATAAATGTTTGTAAAGATTTAGAGAGATTGGAACCTTGGGCATTGCTCTAGGATGTAAAATGTAAAACTGGAACAGCTACTATAGTAAACAGTTCACTGATTTCTCAAAACTTGAGCAGAGAGTTACCATATGACCCAGCAGGTACATGCCCAAAACAATTGAAAGCAGAGACTGAAAATAGATACATATACAGTGATGTTCTTAGCATTATTCACAACAGCCAAAAGGTATAAATAACCAAAATATCCAGGTACTCATCAACAAATAAACAAGGTAAAACATGCTATATACATACTATAGAATATCATGCATCCTTAAAAAGGAATGCTGGAAAATAATCTTGTAACGCATGTGCTAAGTGCTATATGCCAGACACAAAGGATCATCCCTGGTATGGTTCTGTTTATATGAGGTATCTAAAACAGGCAGATTCATAGGGGCAAAAAGTATAATAGAGGTAACTAGGGGCTGGAGAATGGCAGGAAATGAGCAATTCTTGTTTAGGGTCACATTTTCTGTTTGGGATGATAAAGTTATAAAAATGTATAGTAGTGAAGGTTGTACTACATTGTGGATGTAGAGCCGTGAAGCTATACATTTAGAAATGGTTAGGATGGTAATTTGCATGTATGTGTATTTTATCACAATTTAAGAGGAAAAACTAATGGCTATTGTAGAGGTTATAAGCATTATTGTCTGTTGTAAAAGAAAGTGCCCACATATTCCATCTTAAAGGTATTCTCTTGTATATTTGTCATCATATTCTGTAATATATTTGTTGATAATTTATCTTGACCCTTATTTTAAAAGCAACTAGGAGCCTTCTGTTTCATCAATTTCTATAGCTTGAACTTTAATTGCCTATGGCTCCTAAATTTTGGATAATTTTGGCTTTTATAGTAACATTATATGTATGCTTATATTAAAATTAATAGTAATAGTATTTTTATAATTATTAAACATATATGCATACTCTTGTTAAGAGTTAAGGAGTCCAGTTATACGAGAGAAGTCTTTCTTACCGTGGTGTTTCATTTGCAGGATGAGGATGAGCTGGATTCTCATACCATGGTGAAGACGAGTTCAGAAAGTGTGAGCACGATGCGGGCCACAAGCACGATGAGTGAAGGGGCCCAGACCATGATTGAACACAACAGCACAATGCTAGAATCTGACTTGGGGACTATGGTGATAAACAGTGAGGATGAGGAGGAAGAAGATGGCACTATGAAACGTACGTGTCTTTTTCCCATTGAGTATTGTTTTCTACTTTAGAAGTATGCTTACATAGAAATCAGGATAGTTTGTGTTAGTTTTTAGAGCCAATTATGCAATATTTTGTTCCTCAGTTTTATTTGACAGTAAGGAGGGAAAAAAGTATGGCAAAAGTCAACATTTTATAATTTTATTTTCTTATATCACGAAGCAATATATCTTTAACGTAAGGTTATGGCACTTCTCATAATTTAATTTGTAAAGTACTTTAGAAAAAAGAGGATAGTGTTCCTAACATTTACTTTTCCAATTAAAAAAGTAAACATAAAGGTCTGTTTCAATAAACGCAATGTTACATTATTTCATGTTGTCTAAATTATCCCTAAGGCTACAGAGACAGAGGAATGTAAGCTACGTGAAGAAATGTGGACTGAGATGGGAAAAATAAGAAACACTAGGAAGAAGGATTAAGAGATGGGGATGCTCATAGAGAAGACTCCATTCCATTCAGGTTTATTGCTCCTTATCATGTGTGAAGCATGGGGCCAGGGGCACTACAAGGACTGAAATGACAAGACAATCTCTCTGACCTCTGTTGCTTACAGAATGATGAAGATAAGGGCCCTTTCAAGGACTAGCATTCTTTTCTAATGTTTTTTTAAAGCTATTTCAGTTAACAATGCAGGACATGTGATTTCACAATGATAGGCAAACAGATTAGCTATCTCTTCATACTGATTTCTTCTCTCCTCCACTTCTGAAGGAATGTCAAAGTCTAAGCACTAGACTGTTTTCTACTGCACAGAATTCTAAATACCAGGAAAGGATTATGTGATTTCTGCCATCCTAGAGTCTAGAAAATTGTAAACATTCAAATCTTTTGCTGCTACTGCAAAATGGATATTGGAATTTCCTTCCAGATGTGATTGATTTTTCTGATGTTTCTCTTTTCCTTTTGGCCATCTTTTTCTCCTGCTACTGTTGGTGTTGCTGCTTGTCTATAAGGTTCCTAACCCCAACTTACTTGGCTCACCATTACTACTTTGTTTGCATTTCCTAGTACTCAGCCCTTTATGGCTGGCTATATACTTTGAAATGAAGGAGTCATGAAGCACAAAATGCAGATAGATTGCCATATGTGGTTAATGCTGCGGGGCAGGTGGAATGTATGATTTTTCTATCTCCTGCTACTTGTGCATCTCCTGAACTTTTTTCCTTGGAAAGCAATCTAAAGTGAGTAGAATAGTTATATATAACATGCCTTACTCAACCATACAGCATGTTCTCATGATCTCCAAAGCCATCTGAGTTGTATGACCTTAAGTCAAAAAGACCCTATTTTTTTAATAGCATTTTTCTGCAAATTTTTTTAATCTGAAATTTTAGGATTCTTAATAGATCAGGCAGAATAATCTTAAGTGTTCTGTCGATAGACTGAGCTCCCTACAAAGCTGACAGACAACTGTGATGTAGTCATTTGATTGAACATCGGAATACAAACAGTAATTAAAAATGCGTCTTTATGGAATCTAATTCATGTTAGATTATTGTATTTTTAGGAAGAAATAGGGGTGATTTATCAGAAACTTAACTCCAAAATTATACCACAGATTTCCATATAATTTGTATAGTGATTTTTAGCTATTACTATTAAGGAAACCAAAATATAGTATAAATTTTATTGTAAAGAATTAAATATGTATGAATTTTTTGTCTTATTTAAAATGCACTTTTAAGCTGAGTAGATCATTATTTGTAGTGGTTGTCTGCTGTGCAAGAGTAAGTTTTAAATCCCATGGTCCAACTTTTCATATATTTTTAAGTTTGTACAGATTGGACATCATTTTATGATGTGGGGTTTGACATTCTCTAAAATTTGATCAAGTAATGTTAGTTAATTCTCAAACATTGTCTTATTGTGGTAGAGCAATAGTAACTAATGTGAAGAAATTCCTTAGGGAAGACTGACTTTCCCTGAAATCACATTAGTTTTATTTTTCCTCAAAAATTAAGTAGTATGAAGTCTTGGTTTATGTTGTATCAGTCAAAGCCTCATTGTTAACGTATTTTCAAGATTTCTGTTCCCTAAAAACATTGCAGCAATATATTATTATTACTGTCCCCTTTTCCATTGGAGTATGAAGTGAGTTGTTTATTTAGCATTCTTGTTAGTTTAATTTATGTTTTATACATTCTCTTTTTGTCTTTAACCATGAAGCTGCAAATTACAGACTTGTTTTCCTTACAGAGCTGGGGCTGGATTGATAGCTGTAGTTCCCTGAAGAGAATCTATACCTGTTGTTATGTGAGGAAGAGCCAAACCCTCTAAAGAAGTCGGTGTGTGTGTGTGTGTGGTTTCCCCTAATAGATTATGAGGTTTGTCCCACTCAGAATACTTTATAAATCTCCTATACTACATAATAATAGATGTTCCTGGAACATTGGTTTCATAAATGAATACTTATTACGTGTTAGAGTCAAACAGCTTTTTGATCAGATTAAAACTTCATAACTCTAAGAACTAAGAGAACTTTCAGGTAAACCTTTGCCTTAGAAAGCTACTATCTGGTGATGTGCTACTTTCTTTTCAAATATTCTATTATCAGTACCTTTTATTTCCCAGATCAGACTTTCTAAAAGTTCATTTTTAAGATACAAATTTAGTGACAGTCTCTGATAAATATAGATACCATATAATAATCCAAAGTGTTTGGAAAATGGTTATTTATCTGGAGATAAACTATTAAACATCTATGTAACATAGTAGCTTGTTAAATACCCTACAAGTAGCACAGGAAGGAAAGCTGTGTAAAAGTTATATTACCCAGGCTTTCTTAACTTGCTTGGCCCTGAAAGCTTTTAATGAGGAGCACATTGGAGGTTAACATCCTGTGTAATTGATGTCTAAGAAATAGTGTTTGGGAGATGCTGTCACAGGAGCTCTCTATATCTTTGTTCTTGCTTCCTTTTTATTAGCTCACCACCTTCCACTTCTGTTTATGTTGAGACCATGTTTCATCACTCTCACCCACTGTCTTACCTACATTCTTAGCTCCTTTTCAACAGTGCCTTTCTTTTTTTGTTCTTCTTGAAAAATTTTGATTGGTTCGGCTTGTCCATCTTCATGCTGACTACTGAGTTATGCTCGAGAAAAGTGTAAAATCCGCATAGATAAGGACCACCAGCTGAAGATTGAGTCTTCAGAACTTTCCTATAGGCTTATTATTTCTCAACTCAGCTCTTTCTTATTCTACAAAGTGGCTAAATTAGACCTTTTCCAAATGTTCTCCTGCCAGCTTCCCTCTCAGTTTTAGTAGATAACCATTCTTTTTGTTTCATGTTAAAAAAAAAAAAAACTCATGTGAGAAGTTACCAAAGTTGTATACATGTTTTGAACATGAACTTTGGAATAAGATAGAAAATTTGAATCATTTTTAATTTCTTTTTTCACTTCTCTGAAAGTAAAAGGCAAAAGATTTATACTATGTGAAGAGAAACCAGAATATACTTCTCTGAAAGTGAATGTGCGTGAAGTCCCATCAGTTCTTTCTACTACATATCTTTGTTCTGTTCTTACCATCTACTGTATATCCTGATGCAGGTCTTCATACTCTCACTTATAAGGCAGCCTAATGGATTCCTTGCCTCCTGTATTGATCCCCTATATTGCCTACTGATCTTCCCATATACTATGAATTATGTCTAGGTCATAGGTAGGCTTTGGAAGGTGATTAAATTATGGGCCTTATGGCTGGATTGCTTGTAGGAGATGGTGTCTGGTCAGCAGAGGTGAGTCCCTTGGGTGTGGCCAGCAGGGTTTCCTGTTTGCCATGCTGTGAGCAATCCTTCTCTGCCTGGAGCCTGCCACCTGGGCCAAAACCTGTACGGACCATGAGCCAAATTTCCTTTAAGTTGTGGATATCAAGTATTTGTCTCAACGATGAGGAAAGTACCTGAGAGAACACGTCACTCTTCTCTATTCTTCTAGTTGCTTCCAATTGCTCTTAGACCAAAGCTCAACATGAGTTAGAAGGCAGTAGATGCTCTGGAACCTACTTACCTTCCTGCTGTTTGTCTCATTGTTTCCTTAGCTTCTCATTTCTTATTGTGCTCTTTCTTACCTTTGAACATTTGCATTGCCCCAGTTCTTTTGTTTGGAGTCCTGCTTCCCTAAGTCAGATTCATTCTGTCAGGCTAAGAGATCTTTTCTCTACTGATCTCAGGTCAGGGATGGGTGTCCTACTTACGTGCTCCCATCTTTCCTCATGCTTTTGTAGCACTTTATGCACTGTACCACAAGTGCTCTTCTGTGTGGTCATCTGTTTGTTCCTGCTGTAGTCTCAAGACATAATGTAATATTTAGTGCATTCATTAATTTAAGATTTTGAACAGATGATGTGGTATAGTGAAAACAGCATGAAATCTGAAGTCAAACCACTTACTAATTATGGGCTCTTTAATCATTCCTGAATTGCAGTGATGTACATTTGCCTCTGTATATACACTTGCATAGCCCTGCTTCCCATTCCTTGGGAAAGGCTTTATCTTAATGGGATTAGAGATGCAGAGGCATTGAGGCCTCTAGGAGTGATCACAAAAGTGAGCTCATATGGAATTGCAGCAACTACTACAACCAGGATGGCAGTCCAGAAGCCGCCACTAGCACTGGTGAGTGGAGTAATAGAGATTGAGATCACCATCCATGTTACTCAGGGATTAGAAAGCTATCAGTGCCCCTGCAACCTGTGAAACTGGTGACTGGATGTGGGAGTACTGCTCTGAACAATTTCAGGACTCACTGACTATGCTTGCCAAAAGGAAATCACTAAAATAAAATGGCCTCTGCTCATTTTTTACTTTCCCTATTATAAAAAGAACTCACTCACCCAGAACTCTAGTTAGAAGGCATTCCAAGCAATGTAGTATTTAGCTTTTCATCCTATACAATATGAAGTCTCATCAGAGGGAGATGTCAGTGGTTGCTAGGTTTCCATCAACCACAGTGTTAAGTAATACATT